TGCGCCGAAGGCGCGAGGCCAGCAACGACGAAGACGCTGACGGAGGAGACGCCGCTGCAGATCGTCGTCTTACTCATTCCGACGATTCCGACGACGAGGGTGGCCAGAGAGTTAAATCACGTTCCCAGAGAGTTTCGAAGGATAAAAAGCCTTCGAAAAGGTAGAGCCTTGCAGCTGCTGGTACATAATGGACGTCTGGATTAAGGACAAGCACCAGGATGAGGACAAGGCCATTGGAGTACTAGAAAGGAGAAAGACCGGTTTATGGTCGCGTACACGAAAGTTTGGCATACATTTTGTCCGTTTTAATTTTCCTTTATTGTAGAATAATGTCAAATCATATCAAGGATATGAGGGAGATAATTTAGCCTGAAGTTTAAGATTTGTAGCTGTCATATACTTGTATATAATTACCTATTGATCAATAGAATGGACACACGATTCTTTTTTATAACTTTGTTATGGTATCAGAGCGTACAAAGTCTCGGTGAGAACGTGTGACAAAACTCTTCTCATGGATAAAGCTGAGATCGAGAAGAAGATCGAATTGGTGAAAAAGATACCTTCACCATATGACTTGCATGCAAACGATAATTCAGGAAATTTGATTGGAAGAAGAAATGGAGGTTTTCGAGCAAATGCAATGCAAGTGAATGGAGAAACCAACGGGACTAATGTAAATGCATTGAGTGGACTGAGTTCTGAACAATGGCAAACTCTAAAGGATTTGTTGAACAATCACAAAGTAACCACAAGTGACAAAATGACAGGTAAACATAGTGAGTGGATCATAGACACAGGTGCCTCTAGCCACATGACAGGAAACTTGAGTTTATTATGTGGGCTGAGACGTAGTTGGGTGTCCAGTGAGACTTCCAGATGGAAAACAACTAATGGCAAACAAAGAAGGGACAGTGACACTTGATGGAGGATTGAAAGTGGAAAATGTGCTTTATGTGCCAACATTGAATTGCAACCTGTTGTCTATTTCTCAATTAACAAATGAAACAAATTGTGTTGTCTATATCACTGACAACTTATGTGTTATGCAGGATTGCACTTTGAAGATGCTGATTGGAGTGGGTGAACAACGAGATGGACTTTACTTCTTTAAAGGAATCCGAAGTGAGAAAGCACACAAAGCTAATGGAACTTGCGAACTTAATCTGTGGCATCAACGCATGGGGCACCCTTCTTTCAAGGTCACTAAATTAGCTTCCAACATGAGATGTGATAGCGATATTTTGAAGAACAAATCATGTGATGTATGTTTACGGGCTAAGCAAACTAGAGGTGTCTTTCCATTAAGTATAGATAATGTTGGTGGTAGTTTTGAATTAATAGACTGTGATTTTTGGGGGCCCTATAGAACTCCCTCTTCTTGTGGTGCTTCATATTTTTTGACAATAATGGATGATTTTTCTCGTGCTATTTGGATTTATTTGATTTCTGATAAAAGGGAAGTGTCACGTACATTGTTGAATTTCTTTGCATTAATAGAAAGACAATTTGGTAAACAGATTAAAGTGTTATGTAGCGATAATGGTACTGAATTTACATGTTTGAGAAACTACTTTCATGAACACGGGATAGTATTTCAAACATCTTGTCCAGGAACCCCACAACAAAACGGAAGAGTAGAAAGAAAGCATAGACACATTCTTAATGTTGTTCGTGCTCTGATACCATAACAAAGTTATAGAAAAGAATCGTGTGTTCATTCTATTGATCAATAGGTAATTATATACAAGTATATGACAGCTACAAATCTTAAACTTCAGGCTAAATTATCTCCCTCATATCATTGATATGATTTGACATTATTCTGCAACAAAGGAGAATTAAAACAGACAAAATGTATGTCAAATTAATTATTCCAATTGATGAAATAATCTCAAGAATTATGCATGAGAGCATAATCCGTATAACATATGCCATATTACCATATTACAGACCATAGCTAAACTACACAGCCAATTCCCATTTCCCACTCCATCACAATTTGCCGTTTGACCTCTCTCAATCCTAGGATTTGACCATGGTACAACTGGATGAGTTTGTGCATGGCTAAAGTGAAGATAAGGTTTGAGAATGACTTACTTTTGTGTCGCGTGTTGGAGTGACAAGTGTCAGCAAAAAAAAGTCTTATATTACGCAAGAAAGAGTAAGTCGAACAACATATAAAAAAGTTCACTTGCATGGTTCATACTTAGCCTGTTAATTTGAGTGGCCTGTTGATGAAGAGATGAGGTGTACTTTAGCCCCCTCGTTTGTCCTAGCATGGCAGTTAACGGTGGAGATTCATGGAAGAAGTTTGAGCGTAGAGCTTGGTTAATTGCAAAACTAGTTTAAGATGTGTTAGAGATATGGAGTATTTCCGGATTAGATTGGATCGATGTTAAGAGAAAAATTATTCGATCCAATCTCTATGATTTTGTTTCTTGATCATTCAATTCGTTTGGTTAAAAATCAAATATAATGTAAATATATTTTGATTTGAATTTGACTGATTTTTTAGTTTTTAAACAAAGTTATAATATTTTTATGGAATAAAATAAGTTATTAATATCAATAATAATAATTAGGGTATCTCCGATGGAAACAACTCATTTGAGTTACTTCATGCATTGAAAAATGAAAAAAGTGGTCCCTAATGTGTCATGTCAGCATTAAGCAACTCAAACACAAATTTACTTCAATGATAAGAAACTTTAAGAAATTCAACTTTTAAAATTTTTTTCTAATCATTTATGAACCAAATTTAAAATTTTTATTAAAAAGGATAATTGCACTATAATGAAAAAAATAAATTACGAGAAAAATACACAATAAGTAGATATATTAAAAATAAAATAAAGTAAAAGTAAATACATAAATATTATACGAAATTAATTTTCATCATTATTATTTCCGAAATGTTCCCAAATATGTTCAATAAGATCTGTTTGAAATCTGGTAAAGAACGGTTGCTTGAGGAAGCAACTGTCTCTCTTCTTCGGGCAACTCATGTTACCACGTTAGAGTTCTCCAATGATAAGAAACCGATGCTTGAGTTACTTCATGGGTCAAGCAACTTCCATTAGAGTTGCTCTTATAATAAGTCTTAATATATAACTCAAATAATCTATGCATATTGAATATCATAATAATCACAAAATCACTAAGAAAAAAAAAGTGACCACCCACATCTTCAATTTTTAAGTACTTCAATAGTCATATGTTCGGTTAGGGGTGAGCAACGGGTGGGTTTGGTCGGGTTCGGGTGAAAAATGTCCAACCCGTTGTAAACCGACTTTGAAAAAATGTGACCCATATCCGACCGACTGAGCTTTCGATTTGAGGCGGTTCGGGTTGAAACGGGTTCGGTTTTAAGCGGGTGGGTATAATCGGGTTTGAATTTTTTTATAGACCAATTTATCTTAACGAAGATGAAGCTTAAAACGATAAAAAATATTTTTAAAATAGTGTATAAAAATAGAATGAAGGTGACAATAGATGGTGTAAATAGATTCGTAGTTGAAACATTTACAAACTAAAGAAGCAAAAATAAAAGATAACAAAATTCATAGTTGTTACATGGAAAAGAAATATAAAGTTAGATTACAAAACCATAAGAAATCACAGTCACACAAAATGTACTCAAAATGGAGATAAGAAGATGGAAAAGAAAGACAAAGAAAGAAGCAAAAAGATAACTCTAAAAATGGACTAGTGTGTTGAGAAGTTGAATGAGGAAGGAGAAGACAAAATAAATATCTAAGTTATGAGAAAAAGGAAAAAAATAAGTTACAAATTGATGGCTATATTATACTTGAAATAAAGACTTTTAAATTTGGACCATTGTTGTTTAGTTATACAAAAATAATAAAAATTTAAACTTATCTCATTTTCGGTTGGATTCGATTTTTAGCGGGTTTAAAAGTTCAAAACCGAACCCGCCCAATATAACCCGTATAAAATCAAAATTTTAACCCGATTTACCCATAAGACCCGCCCGAACCCACCCAAAAACTATATTTTTTTTCGGGTTTTTCGGGTTCGGTTCGGGTGTCGGTTTAATGCTCACCCCTACGTTCGGTTTATTGCACTATAGAATAGCATTTCAAAATAGAAAAATTTTGGATTTGCTAATCAAATGATTTTATTTCCTAGAGCCAAGATGGAAATTAGCATTAATATTTGTTGCACAATATTGGATACCAAACAGTAATTTAAGTTGATAAATGATAAATGTGAAACTAGACAGTCATTTTAACTAGTTAAAAAATAGACAAAAAAAGTAAACATCATTTTAAGTATAAGTGATAATTTAATTTAAATAATAGGTTAATAGCAGCACATATTTAATTATAAAAGTGTTTTGTTTGATGTGGATTTCATCGATTTTTTTTATTGGAACTGAGAAATGTTACAATTCAATTAAAAAGTCAATTTTCTTTTGGATATTTCAATTCAGTTTTTCGATTTTCGACTTTTTTGTTCAGTTGTTACTATTTATGTTAGACGAGATTAGTTATGAACAAAGAACAGAGAGCAAAAATCGGTCTTGGTGGTGTTCGTACGTTGAGTTGTGCTTAGAGGATCGGTTATAGGCGTGAATTTAGAGTTATTTGATGTTAACGTGGACTTTTCATAAATGTGACTTTTATCACCGCAGAAGATCTACCTTGTCTACTAAATTTGCAAACTTTCCAATACTTAAAAAATTTCGAATGAAAATCAAATTTCAAAAGTCACATAGACCATAATTCCAGTGCAATAATTTCCGGCTCCGACACTGAAGATGATCAAGACTTGGCCACAACAAGCCTTTACTCACAGCCACAGGCACGACACGGTGATACATTGGGCTAACTAGATAAATACATGGGGAATAATAATATGCTTCCACGATGGTCGATGAGCCATGACTCTGAATTTTCCCACCCCTTGTTCGTGTACATATCAAACAAACCCATAAAAAAACACGACTCTGATCAAGAATGAACGCCCAACCCAGATGATGGATCTTGAAAAAATCAACTGTTCGAATTTCTATTCGCTCAGGAACGACAAGAAAAGACATGTAATTAGTCTCTCAAGAAAGCCTAGATAATCTGGACAGGATTCAGAGTTGAGAGTTGGGTGAACTACACAAGAAAAGACATGTAATTAGTCTCTCACCATCTGGAAAGACCCTTTAATCTCGATATTCTTATGCACAGGAGTACTGCACTGAATCCATTTAAACATAATTACTAGATCAGAACAACATAACTACACTATCTCCATAAATAGCACAAAAGATTTAGATCAAACTTTAAACGGTAGGAGTATCAATCTAATAGTACCTTAGAACTTCTTAGTCTCAATCTATCTTTTGTAAAATTCCTGGCCATCTATCTCTGGTGAACCATGGCATAAAATGTATGCTTAAAAATGGCAGCCACAGCCTTCCAAGTAGGGGGAAGTTCATAGAAAGCGAACCATTGCCTCTTGTGAAATTATCTGCGGTAGCGATGGCGTTTGAAATTGAAGTACACATGCAGAATTCCACGTTCAAATGTGCACTTAAAGCCTTTTTTATGAGAATATTCCCATTCTTTGTTTACAATGCGGAAAGCCTGTCATGGAAAACACAAGGAAATAAGTAGATTGATTGAAAATTAAAAATCCTTCACAACATCAAGATAATAGACTTACTATGTCTTCGTATGGTGGCCCTGCATGGAATCTTATAATGCAAGTCTCCCCGTTGCTGCCATCCTTCTCAATGGTGTAACTTGGGGCTTTTGTTTTGTCTACAAGATCAGGATAGAAAATATTAAATTTGTACCCTTGCACAATCTTTGGAGGTGGGTTGTCATGATCATAGTGAGTCTGATTATATTTGTTCCACTCATATCCAGTATGAACCCGGTTGAAATACTTTGGCTTCCTAGGCCTGTATTTGTCATGCCACCAATAAACCTGCTCCAAAATTTATCAACCAGTCAGGAAATTTAAAAGACAAGGAGAAGAAAAATAACAAGCTTTCTATTTCCCATTAAAATGCTAAAATATACCCGTGGAAGTGTATTTACTACATGATAGTACAAAATTCAAGCGGTGTTTAACCCAATTTTTTTCTAGCTTTTCTTTTCCTTAAAAACTGGGACAATTGCACTTGGTGATAAGCTCTTAAAAAATTAGGGAGCTTATTTTTATTTTACAAGAGAAAAGAAAGGGAAGGGGGAGTAGCTTATGCCAAACTTCTACTTTATTTTGAAAACTCTTATTTTAAAGTAGCTTTTTAAGCCATAAAAGAGCTGGGTCAAACATAGCCTTAGTAGAAACACCCTTCACTGCCAACTTTTCTGTGGAGAGAAGTAACCAGAGGATTATTTAAGACTGTTCCATGATAATAATCCACAACTTACGATATTACTTCCGAAAAATCCATACCAGACTGTTGTATTCTTATCGAACTACATATTTTTCTATCCATCAAAAACTCAAAACTCTTTAAAGATCATAGAAAGTGACAAGCTGATGTCATATGCCATTCCACAAATAGTGAAGCAGCTATATATTAGACCAAGGCACTATACCTGAGAATCCAAATTCACTTCAGCACCAGATCCAAACACAGCATCTCCATCTTCCATATCCCCCATAGCTTTTAAGGCTTTCATCTCAAAATTATCTTCAGAAGGAGCTGGCTTTGATGCCATTGCTTCCTGAACTCGTCTTTGCTGCTCTTCTAATACAGCCTTGCGATTCCGCTCCTACAAATGTACAAACAGGGTCGTGTGACAATCTGTAAATTAAGTATGAGATCACCATTAAAAACCATGATTAAAAAGGTTACCAGCATAGCTTTGTCCTCTTCAGGGTCAACAGCTTCCTCATTTTCATCACCATGCAACAGTTGGGGTGAAAATGATCCAGCCTCATCTTCAGCTTCTTGATCCTCTCTAACAGGGTCTGGTGAGAATGATTCATCGGCAGATCGGACTAGCAAGATAAAGAAATAAAACAAATTTCAACATTGAACTTGAGATGAATGGAGCCAATAAAAATTGTTTCATGAACAAGAAAATGACAATGACAACATACCTTTAATATCATCTTCAGTACCTTCCTCCTCCTCAGGTATCATATCATGAGCATTCTCTAATTTATCTTCATCCTCCAATGGTTGCTCAAGACATTGCAAATGCTTACGTAGCAATTTAGCATGAATTTCCTTTAAACAAGCCTGTATTTGAAGCAATTTAATAATACACTAATACAGTCAAACAAACCATTATTTAAAGGAATGTACAGAAGTTTGAAAATAATGTGACGAAGAATAGTAGAATACCTTGGCCTTATAAATGTGGAGATGTTTTAAAATGGCCTCCCAGTATTCAACCACCTTTGCTGTACCAGTACGCATTTCTGATTCAATGTGAACCTGTAAAGCCTCCAACTCTGCATGTGTCTTCCCCAGCAGAAGCTTCTTCACATCTGGTTCAACACTGGAATGCAGACCCCTTTCTTCTGCAAGCAGCTCAGCAGGAGGTTCTTCTCCACGCACCCTAGCTCGATCAAGTGCATCCTTTTTTCGGGCTTCAGCTAGCTCCCAGTCACACACCAGAAGGAGTGCCTGCGTGAAGATATTAAACAATGAGTCTTCAACTTTAAACAAGATACCAACCAGGCAACCACAATAGCCATACAAGTTATAACTAAAATAAATGGTCATGAAAGTCAACTAGTTCACTTGGGCTCCATTTTGTTGATATTATCTTGAATTTGTTGCGCAATTAATTAGATAAGATAGAACTTATTAAGTAACCTGTGTAGAACTATAAAGCAAAAAGTAAACAATGGAAACAGGGTGGTGATACCTCCCAATATACTACATGTGTTGGCGTTGCCCTGTCAAGGTCCAGATGCATTTTGATGTCATCACGTAGCTCATTCATTTCATTAACAGTCAAACCCTGCACCATTTATCAAATCATTATGTAACTTGTCCAATAATATTAACATTTAAAATGTGGATATCCTTAATTATACTATATAAACAGTGAGGAATACGAGGAATAAAATGAAAAGGAAAACACTAAGTATTAACCTTGAAGACCATGTATGGTTCATTTATTTCTATATCCAAATCATCAGAACCATTGAGATGCTTGGTTAAGACATCAATTGGTCTGGCACGCCCTTCACGCAATCTGATTTCTGACCTAACTTTGCTTTGATCAAAATGAAACTGCAGATTAAATTGTCTAAGTCATCAAACTGACAATATAATATAAAATAACAAATGAATAGGAACTCAAGGCTCATTACCTCCTCTTCTTTTTTTTCCCAGTCCTGAAACTCAGCTCGAGCACGTTCTCTGGCAAGCAATGCCTAGGAAAAAGAATGTGTTAATTCCCAACAAGATAACATAGTTTATGCCACCAACAATCTAATTCTAAAACCTATGTCAAGCCTCAGCTTGACTCAAATATCTCCACATTCGGGCCAAAGTGAAGATGAATTCCAGGACCCTTCTTAAAGGAAAGACCTGATATGTAGCCTTGTGTCCCCCAAGCCCCACCCCCCAAAAAGACAAAAGACAAGGAAGGGACATAATTGGTATATCATAATAGAATAGAACCACAAAAAAAAGGGACACGGGCAAGATAAAAAAAAATAATATTCCAGCAGATTAAAATGATCTGTTGAAATATAGTGAATAGATGGAATCATGGAAAGGAGATAATAGAGAATATTAACTAATATGACTGAATAATTGAGATACCAGAGGCTGATCTAAAACTCCTATTTATATTAATGTGGTCAGGACGTCAGGTATAAAATGAAGTACTGTAGAAGTAGTAAAAGCCTTTACTAATAATAGTGAACACTGAACACAACATGACAAATGTTCTCACAAGTCATAACAACTATTCACTAATAACAAATTATGAGAAAGGACTTACCATTTCTTCCTCATGTCGTGCTTTCTCAAGTGCCCTTTCCTCTCTTCGTTTCTTCACTTTTTCTATTTCTGCCTGCATTATAATTCAGATTATTATAATGGTAAGCAGTAAGAAATTTAGTTGTTAGGCCATCAGTGACAAATCAAAGGACCAACATATTTGTGAAAACAAAGAACTAAGATGCAAAGCCTTACCTCAAACTCAAGTATATAAACCATATGAATTACTGAACTAGTTTAATCCATTGATTCGATTCCCAGTTATAGTTTAATCACAGTTGCAATCATAGTTTCATCACATTCCTTGATCTTGTAGGATATTAAAGAAAAATATGGCTGATGTAGCCATAATGGTGGGGA